CGTGTAGGTGGGACTTTTAACGTCCTTCAAAATTTCCATTAACGATTAATGCAATACTAAAATGCATGTAAATGTAAAAATGCACTTCTTGGAAAAAAAGTGGGGTTTTGTTTTTATCATGGTGGGACCAGGGATTTTGGAGAAAATACTTGGTGGGACATAAGGTGCAAAAGGTTAAGGGCCGCGGGTCTAGCAGACGTAGCAGGTTCCCTCCTATGGACTAATTGTGTCTGTTTGCTCAGCATGAAACCCTCTTTCCCCTTAAAAGCAGGTGCTGGAGCAAAGGTGATGGCACCTTGGACTTCATGCCCCACTTACTTTGCTTTTGGAGTACCATGATGGGGTGTTGTCTGAGGGGGATAGGCACTGACAGAGTCAGTATTTGGGAATCTGGGATCTAGGAGCTGCTAGTGCTTTAGACACTGGAGACATTATTGAGTCGAGTCTTTCTCTGAAGATGATCATGCAACCTGCAATGGGCCGCCTCAGCCATATAGATGTTTAAGATTGTGATTAACATTAGGAGAAAGGTTTGGTAAATGGTCACTTTGCTGAGAAACTGAGTTTTGAAGGCACCTAAATTATTAATGAAATGGGGGTGAGTTTAGAAAATAGTTTCAGATGGAAAAGTGTGTGTGGGGGGGGGGTTTGAAAAAACCCCTTCAAAACAGCTTGTTTTAACAGAAGACTTTTGTTCATTTGTTTGAAAGACTCTTGTTTCGGAAATGCCAAAAGCTTCCAATTTTTGACATGTTGGAACCTCGGCTTTTCACTCCGAAGCGGCATGTCTTAAAAAGGAAGAAGTAGAAAAGCCAGAAAGAAGAGTTTTGGTAGGATGAAGTGACACAGAAACCAAACAGCAAAATGTCGAGATCACGCTAGCAAGGTACTGATTCAGGTCAAACGAAAGCTTTTGGGTCCTCCCACGCCCATTTTTCTGTGCGTTTTTCTTTGTAAAATTTGAGGCTATCCTGTGTTGCTTTGAGCCCAAGTGATATTTCCCTTCGGTTTTCCGGTTCTGCCATCTGACCAAAGAGTCCATTTTCCACCCAGCTCCAGCTGTTACTGTCTTCAGCTGGCTGGAGTATATTAGATGCAATGGAAACCCTTTTGCTCCCTTCCCAGGTGTAGACGGATTACAGCCATGCTCAAGTCCCTTTCAGGGCATGTCAATCTTAGCCAAAGTGTCACCCAAAGCAGTTCTGCTTCTGCTACCCATCCCAGGGGCTTCATCTCTTCAGTCCCCCTTGCTTCTCAGTCTATATGGGCTTTTCTTTAAAGGGAACACCGTACTGTCCAGAAAACTGTGCATTGCTGGCTGGGCCCTTGAAGAGGCAGGCCACCCTATTAATGTCACCCTGGGCACATGCATGTTGTCAGGTCTCCCTATGGCAGGAGTGAAGATCCTGCCGTCTTCTCCCAAGATCTGCTCATTTTTATCATCGCAACAGCACCCCGACATGTCAGTGGGTGCTTTCAAGTGGCCTCTTTACTGCTCATACGTCGCTATGTCCTGAGTGCTAGTGCTGGATTGGAAACTGAATCTTTCGGGGAAAGACATTCCTGTCCCACTAATACTGCTTGCTCATGTTCCCACTGAGCAGAAGGAGAAGCTTTACAAGAAAAGTCCTTCTTCAGCAAGATTAGGGATTTTTTTTTTTTTTAAGACTCATCACTGCACTTGTAACATGTCTACGAAGATTTGGCCACAGGAAGGAAGACTTGTTCAACAAGCTATTTTTTGCACATCGGTTTGTGCCATGGATTTCACAATCCTGGTGAATTTAGAAAGGATTTCTAAGAGAAGCTTAGTACCAGAGACCTTGCCAACGCCGAGCATCCTGCAAGCTGCAACAAGGACGGTGGGAATCTGTACCTGTTACTGGGCGGTGGCTCAGGAAGAGCATTTGGTCCACGGGACTGATATTTGGAAGCACAAGGGCGCTGACATGCAAGAGTCAGCAAAAGACGGTTCCCTTGGTGGGGAAGTCAGCACTAGGAGAAAAACCCTAAAGCAAACAGTTTTGCAAACTGTCCTGGCTAGCAGGGCACTTCTGGGGCTGGAGTACTGCAGAGTGGAAAGCCAAAGGTTTCAAAGAACCAAGTACTCCCATAATTACAAGCCTAAGAGTGTTTTTTTCCCATTACAAGTATAATGGAAAGTATTTAAGAGAAATTCCTATGCGTGTTAGTGCCGGAGAATGACTCACGGAAAATATTGCCCAGTCAGAGAGCGGCTCTAGTGACCTAACGATACGGATCCGTGATGACACGGAACGACTCAGTCTTCATTCATAGCCTTTGCTTTCCACTTCCTAAGCTGGGATGAGCAGGGAGAGGGGGTGGGTATGACTAAATGGAGCCTGGGTGGAACTGGGGGTCTGTCATGGGTCGGGCTCCCTGGGCCGAGTTAGGTGTTTGGGCAGCATTTGAGTGTGACCCCAGTGTTCGGCCAAGAATGCAAAGGAGCACGGAAAGAAGAAGACCGGAGAGTGATGATAATGCACAACCCCATCCATTTCTATGAGAGATGTTAGGGGTCAGGACCAAGCAGGGAAATAAGGACAGCGAGAAGGGGCAAAATGCTGAAGAGTGCATGGAAACACGAATGCCGGGAGGCAGGAACTAAGAGTTGAGAGCAACTGTTGTTGAGGGCCCAGGATGTTTCCAGCCAGTCGGTGAAAAAGGGGAAAGCGTGTGGATGAGCCGTGTGCCTTTGTTATATTCGTTCGAAAGAGGAGAGGCTGGAGATCACCGGAGGCTCACGTGCCACCTGTTCTCTCTACTGCCTGCCTGCAAGGGATATGTCTGCAGAGAGCAGGTGGGTCCTGGAGGAATGGTCTCTCCATGCTTTGGGCACTTGCTGCCTTGTTAAAACACTGTCGGTGCCTAGAGACATATGATGTAGCCCCCTAAAGTGGGGTAGCCGTTGCCCATCCAGTGACGAGGGACACCTGAAAGATGAGGGATAGGACTGCATTACACCGGTGCACACGTCACCTGTCTGCAACACGCTCTTGGACGGCGTGGAGCTCAGCACCGGGGTGCTGTAGATAGTACAAGAGAAAACCCTGGAGACCCCCAGATCCTGGTGCTAAGCTCTGGAGGAGATGGTTTCTGCCCCAGAGCGCTCCCAGTTATAGGCCAGAGGTGGGAGAAAGCCAGGATAACCACCTGCTGTGAAACAGGTCAGTGCCCTCCATACCAGCCCCATGTATGCCAGTGCCCTCCAGATCTGCCTCTCGATGCCATCCTGAAACCATGGTGTGGGGAGAGTAAGTGACTGGACCAAGGTCTCTTAGGGAGGCTGTGGCAGAACCAGGAGCTGACAGCAGGTCTGTGGGGTCCCAGTCTGGTGCGGGGCTATGGTTTAGTGCCCTGGCAGGCAGGTGGGTACCTAGGGGCTCCTGGGTTCTCCTCTTGCCTCGGCCCCTTCCTCACTGTAGACGGGGAAGCCTTCTGCCTCAGTTTGCTAACTGCATACAGGGGTTAACTTCATTCTGTCCCCTGGCTGGGCCCTGCTTTGGGAGCGTAACCCGCTCTCCACATGCAATCATTTGCTTCTTGGCACCAGCCCTGGCCTGCCCCCACTTCCCGGGTCACTCAGGGCCGCGCTTTCTAAGCTGTCCCGTCAAACCTCATCGCCTGTAGCAGGAACAGACTTGTCCGCTCTCTTCACAGCTCATTCCTAATAAAGCAAGCCAGCAACCCTCCCCAGGGGAGGTGCTTTCCCGTGCAAACCTGCCGCCTGGGAGAAGTGACAAATCTCTGCTCACGAACAAGCCTTTCCTTCCCATCCCTCGCCGCCTTTAACTCCACAACCATGCGGGGAATCTGGCGCCTGAACTCTGCCCCGGTTGATGAATGGAGCCAACATCATGCAGCCCCCCGGATCCAAACTCATCAGGATGTGGCTGTCTGGGTGACTGGCCCCTTCCCACGTGTGGGGCAGGAAATCTCTCTAGCAGATGCACCGAACGTGCCCCTCTTGTCCTAGAGGTTAGCTTCATCGCTGAAGTGGTCGAGTACTTAAGCGATGCCCCAAACTGTCATGCTTAAACCCCGCTAATGCACCTGGCCAACATGAACGTGTCCAGTCCCCTTTTGAACCTGGTTAAATGACCAGCCTCATCACATCTTGCGCAAGGAGCTCTTTCAAAAGCATCTCGCTGCTCCGCTCTGGACAGCTGGGAAACCCCAAGAAGCCCTGTCCCAGTCACATCCCTTCTCCTTGAGTTTTCTGGTTTTTAGCTTTGAGTCAGAGGACAAGCTCCCAGCCCCTGTCAACAATCCCAGCAACCTGCAGCCAATGCAGCTGCAATGGCCTAGAGCGGATAGAGCAGTTCTAAGAAATGATGTCTCCCAAAGGCTGTCCCCTGCCCTGAGAATTACTCAGTGCTTTTTACTGGGAATCAGAAAGGAGGAGCTTCCTTGAAAACAGTTTGACCCAGATCCACCAGCTCTGCTCTGCCTAACTTTGCCATTTCTCTTCTCCTAGGATACAGCATTTTAAGGAGTGCATCAAATTTATTCACGAATGCCGGCTGCATGGGGGAGGCTGTCTCATTCACTGGTCAGTATTGCCGCCAGCTTCCCCATTTCCTAATGTTCTTCCCTTCTCATCCCCTCCCATTTCTTGTCACTAGCTTTGTTGCTATGACCATCATGCCAAGAGGACTCAGTCGAGACCTGGACTCCACCGCGCTGCACAAACACACAAGCTAGGAATAGACATCAAATTATACTCGTGTATCCTGGAACAGAAATCTCCTGGGATTGCCGTGAACACACACCACTCCCCTACTCGGTGTAGTGAGCGGCTGAAGGCACTGCCGCTTTTCTGCCATTGATTCAATGGTGCAATCCCGGGATGATCATTCAGGTGCACTTTGTGATGTCCTGGGATAAATTTTTAGTACTTCTTATCCCGTGAATCTTTTAAGGATTTGTCTCAGGACAGGGGGCGTGGATGACTGAACAAGTGTGCTTTGTCCTGGCATAAAATGGTTTATACTGGGACAGATTTGATGTCTGTTTGTTGCCATGGAGGAAAAACATCAGAGAGGGGAAGTGGGAGCAAACTCCAGGTCTCCTGAGACCCTGTGCAGTTCCTCCTTCCCCAGGTTAATATGCAGAAGGCTCTCCCGACCCTTGTTTCCATTGCACTGCCTGTAACCATCTCCCCAGTGCACTGGCGTGCTTGCCTCTGCTCTACAGTTTGGACATTTTAGCAGCCGGAGACCACACTGGCTACAGCCATGCCCAGCCCTTCCAGGCTTGTTTCCTCAGGGCTTCTACCACCTATCGACTTGGGCTCACGCTATGGTTTCATGATGCCAATCAAAGTGCAGTTCAGCTCACGCTGCTAAGATGAGGCCCAGTTTTGCATCCCAGGCAGGCGACCTATATGAGGGGTTCATGATTTCTGCCTGAACACTGAGTGCAGCTTTGGGCTTGAATCTTAGCTCTGAGCTGGCCCAAGAGCACGTCCGTGCTTCAGTCACTGCAGCGACTGCACCTCACGTCCCCAAGCCACTAGCAGAGGGGTCACAGCAACAGGGACCCCCCCCAAGGCTGAGTTAACACTTCACTCCAGTGACTGCCACATAGGCAGGCTCCAAAGCTCAACCCCCTCAATTGAGGCTGGTGCTGAGGCTGGCCCCGGATCTTGGCCTGGGTCGATTCAATATATGGGTGCATCCGGGCTGAGCCGTGCAAAGCGGAAGGCTAGTTCTGCACTGCTCAGGACTTCAGGATTGGTTCAGGGGATGAAACAGAAAAGAAAACCAAGCCCTGGTATTGAACTGATGGCACTGACAATAGTCCCTAGGCAACGAATTGCCCATTTCTCATGCAGCCTGAGTCACCGTGATATGGAAAAGCCTCCCCCGGGTTCGCAGCGTACCCACGTGCACTTCTTTTTTTCCCCTTCCCATGTCTCCGGCTATGCCAGCCTGGCTGGGGTTTCCCGCAGCACCACCATCCTGGTGGCGTACCTCATGACCGTGACGGACCTCAGCTGGGAAGAGTGTCTGGCGGCCACCAGAGCGGTCCGCTCCTACGTGAGCCCCAACTTCGGCTTTCCTGCTGTATGTGCACTTAGCTGGGTGGTGCTCAAAGGCTCCCATTTCCTGGGTGACACAATGGGGCCATGAAAGTGCATGTGCATGTTGTGTCGTTGGCCCTTCCCTCTCGTGCGGAGAAGAGTAGGTTCAGATAACCAGGCAGGAGCTGCAGGAGACGGTGCATGAAGCTCTATTATTCCTTCAGGAAAAAGGAGGCATGAAAGGCCATTCATGACCCATGGTTGCTGCATTCACACAGTGACAGCTTTTTAAGGGTGTAGACCAGGGACTGGCAACCATGTAGGAGCAGTGGGCCAGATCAGTGCAGCTCTGAAGGTGGGTCACACTCCCTTTGCCAGCCCATACTGCACAATTGCCACTGGGTGGGCCGGATCCAGCCTGCATGCTGTAGGTTGCCAACCCCTCGTGTAGGTAGATGTAACACTTGTATCTCTATGGAGTGATACTGGTGTAAGGTAGTAGGGTGCAACTGTTAGGTCTGCATGCTCCATCCCAGTGGCAGCAAAACCAATGCAACTTGAATTCCTTTCAGGCTTCAAGTTGCAGTGGTTTAGCTCACCTGTATCAGTAATGGATCAAGCAGACATAACTATGCCACTGTAGCAGAAAATGCATGTTCTCCAAAGGCAACTCCCCCACTTTTCAAAGCATGTGGAAGTTAGGCTGTTGACAGATGAGCCTCAGCTGTGCACACCTGCTGGGTATCATGCCTATATGACTCACGGTCACCCATTGCTTTGTGACAAACCAGAAGGTTCAACTACTGAGCAAACGCGGACACGAATTTTGCTTCTGGCTTCCACATGTGCCCATGGCTTTTCCAGGGTTCTTCTGCAATCATAGCGGTTGCCTAAGTTGCACCCATGATAGACCGATGCAGTGTCATCCTGGCTGGGCATCCAAAATGAACCAGGGACTTTTATGCCCACCTTTTTTTAGAGGGTCCCTTCATGTGCGTGACCAAAATTGGCCAGCTTTGCATTCATGCAGTCGTTCGCGGATTGTGCCAGTGCCAAATTCTGGCAGAAGTGTGGGTTTGTGCAGGTTATGATTCCTGGGGATTTAGTCTTTTGTGCAATAATAATAATAAAAAGCCCAAACACATGGCGAGTGAATTGAAGAGGACTGGCTGAGTACTTGGTGGTATCACTTTCTGGTGAGCCCTGTTAGTGGGTTATGGGAGTGACTCGTGAAAATCCAGCATGCACTGCAAATTTCACAGCACATGGAGCTTGAGTATAATTCCAGGAGACATATTAATCCTTCCCTAGAGCAACCAGGGACTGGGCAAAGCCTGTGCGGGAGACAGCCAGAACTAAGACAGTGGGAGTGGGTATTAAGGGTCTTGCCAGGCAGGGCTGTGGTGCTTTGGAGCCTTGGACAGGGTCCCCTATAAGCAGAGCCTCACCTGAAAGCAAATCTCCCACCTCCAGAAAGACTCACTTTTAGGGAGAGATGCATCCTCCCACAAATGAAACAGAGGGCGAGGAATTCGCAGGAAGTCGGAAAGCTCCACCACTGCCTGGGCATGCCAGTCTCTGATCTACGAGATGGGGGCTTTTGCAGGGAGAAGACTAGGCTAAATAGCTCTAACACACGCACACACTTTCATAGTCCATCTGCATCTGGCATGCAGTGTTGAGCTGGAATACATGTCTCTGCACACTGAGGTGGAGGATCTGCCGGCGGGTGCTTGCAGGATCATGGGGCATCTCTCTTGGAACAATGCTTTCCTTGCCTGAATGTTCCCTGTTGGGGCTGAGCATCTCCAAGGCAGAGATGCTCCTCAGGTGGCCCTAGTATGCTCCATGCCAAGTCCCTGGGTACCTGCAGGGGATTTTTTTCTCCTTTCTGAAGGAGCCCTTGTGCCAGCATGTGATACTGCTCTGAATGTCAGCCGCTTCCCATCCAGCCCTGGATTCTGTGTAGGCCAACTTCCTTCCTTCTCGGGGCTGCTGGATGCTGGGGTGAGGTCAGGTCCTTCTGAGCCAGCACTGGGTGGGATGGGGTGGGCTGCGGTGTCACATGATGAGCAGCAGCCTGACAGTCACCAGCCCCGATACTTCTGCAGGAAGTCAACCCGATTACAAAACGCACTCCTCCGTGGAGATTCCCTGCGGGGCTTCCCCTGTGTGCACGGCCCCCGCTGGGCTGCAGGGACTGGGAGGCACTTGGCAGGACCCAGCCGAGTCCCAGCAGGTCAAGGCGAAAGGGAGAGCCACACAGGAAAGTTGCTGCGGTGGAGAATCCTCCAAGTTCAGCCAGGTTTGCCAGCTTCGATCAGCGGATGTCATGAGTCAGCTCCCCCCACCCGCCTCCACCCCCAATCTTTGGCTTAAACATCCTGAGATCCCACATGCTTTGTCTCTGCCTTTGGTCACACCCCGGTCCCTGTTTCCAGCTTTCCTCAACAACATGAGAGTGAGAAACTCCTACACACAGAGAATATATATGGGTGTGTGTGTGTGTGTGTGTGTGTGTGTGTATGTGTGTGTGTATCTATCTATCTATACAGACATACACATGCACACACATACACACACATATACACACGTATATATACATACACACACATACATACATATATATACATACACACATACATACACACACATATACACACGTATACATACATACACACATGCATACATACATACACACATATACACACGTATACATACATACACACATGCATACATACATACACACATATACACACGTATACATACATACACACATACGTATATACACATACACACATATATATACACACATACATATATACATACACACACATACACACATACACATACATATACACACATACATATATACACACATGCATATATACATACACACACATATATACACACGCACATACATATATACATACATGTATATACACATACACACACACACACTGAGTGTATATATACTGAGACTCATATAGTTAATAATCACGTAGCTCCAGGACTTGGGACTTTCCTGCAAGCACCCATTATTGCAAGACCCGTGACAAAACCATGCGAGTTGGCTCCATTGCTCGTCTCGTCTCTGCCAGCTACCTTATCGGAGAACAGCAGGGTGGACGGAGCCGGTCTACTGCATCCTTTTAGGGTAAAAGTTGATTTGAGTGCAGACTGCAAGTGCATATTATGCAGGCTTTCCATGGGATTTTAATAGGGGTGGGAAGCATGAGAGTTCAGGTGAATCCAGACTCCTGGCAGACATGAGAGTGTCCTGCTGGCAGCAGCTGATGCTTCTTGAGTCACTAAGCTAAGAGGATAGGAATGGGATAGCAATTCCAGACTTAGCCTGAAATGACTGCAATACCTCCACTTCTGGCCTGGACAGGCAGGTGAGAAAAGCCTGTTACTTAGGAAAGAGCAAGGTCATGTTTGAGGGCACAGTTTGCAACAGTTCTGGGCATTTGGAGTGCAAGCCCCTTTACTGCACGTGTGCGCACAGATCAGGTACATGTGTGCCTATGACTCACTTTACACAAAATTCTCTGCCTTTGTACAACTGGTCACAAAAATAAAATTGCATGTGCAACTATGCCTGCATGTGCATGCCTTTAATAGTGGAGCATCGCTGTCTGTATCCATTTGAGTTTGATTGGCTTGTTTTCCTGCTGTGTTGATGGACTAAGAATTGCTCTGCAGCCTGTGGTATTTTATCTCCTGGACAATAGGAGATAACCTGATCTTGCATGAATCAGCCCCGAACATATACACAAATACACAGACAAATAGATCAAATACCCACATGCAAGTACAAGGGATGAGAAGGCCCACAGGGGCAGTGGAAGTGTCCTATAAGCTTGACAATCAGTAGGTTGGGTTCTGGCCTCTAGTATCCCTTTCAGTGCCTCAGTTTATGGACTGGGTGTATAAAGCAGCACCCCAGGAGTTAGAGATGGGGAAGACCTGCTGACTGGTGTCACTCCGACTGCTCCAGACCTCAATTAAAAGGAAACTTGGATTTAAGCGGGAGGTACAGCTCCCTAAAACAGCTGGGGGTTAGTGATGGAGGAATGGCAGTGGAAGAGGCTAGCTAGATGAAGCAGGAAGGGAGGAGCTGGTGATGGATGCACTTATAAAAGGAAGTAGTCAAGTGCAGGACAGAAAACACTTGGGCAGGGAAGAGAACAAGCCAGAAATACCCAGTGGTCACGATAGACCTCACGTGGAGAATACCTCTGCCTCTCACATAGGGAGGTTCATCCAGACAGCACCAATTCCAGATGATCTTGTGCCTCTTGCAGCATACCCTGTGCTCAGGCCCATGGGCAGGTTAGAGAAAAATGCAGTCCTAAAAGGGGAGGCAGCTAAGTGGGCTGGGACGGGGGTGGGGGAAGTGGGTGCAGGCTGGATGAAGTGGGTGTGAAATGCATCTTAGTTGTCCCTGGGTGCAGAGAGAGTTTTCCCTGTGAGTCAGACCCCGTCTTTTGTGGCTGGCTTTCACTTTCCCCTTTCCGTAAGTCAGAGTCAGCACCCGGGCTAGGGCTCCCGGGGAAGGGGAGCTGAAACTTGGCCTTGCAGGCTGGTGCTTGTTCCTGCTGTGGAGGTGGCTCCCCTGGGCTTGCTATTCATGCCCGACGAGCGACTGGCAATGCACCTGTGCGAAGGGAGCCTAGCAGTGCAGAGATCTGCCGATGCTGCTGCAATGTGAATGCCCTGTCGGTGCCCAGAGCAGACCCAGGAGGTATCTGGGTGCCACCAGCTAGAGAACAGGAGCAGCAGGTGCCTCAGCACCTGGAGGATTGGGTCATGAGGGGATGAGGGCTGCTCCTTTATAGCTGAGCTTTGATGACAATATGCAGGGATAGGAACCGGCAGTGAGTTTCTTTCTGGGAAATCCCTCTCGGCAAGCCACAGCCAGGCTGTTTATTAGTACAGGCTCCCTGCCAGCTCCCTTTCCGCTGCTCGCTCCCTTGTCCTATTGCCCTTTCCACTCCTGTGGAGCAGCCGAACTCTTACCACCAGTGTGGAATCAGAGAAAATCAGGGTTGGCAGGGAGCTCAGGAGGTCACATCTAGTCTAACCCCCTGCTCCAAACAGGACCAGCCCCAACTACATCATCCCAGCCAAGGCTTTGTCAAGCTGGGTTTTAAAAACCTCCAAGGATGGAGAGTCCACAGTCTGTTTGCGGAGCCTGTTCCAGTGCTTCACCACCCTCCTAGTGAGACAGTTTTTCCTAATATCCAACCTCAACTTTTCTTGCTGCAGCTTGAGCCTATTGCTTCTTGTCCTGTCATCTGCCCCCACTGAGAACAACTCCATCCTCTTTGCAACTGCCCTGCAGGAAGTTGAAGGCTATTATTAAACCCTCCCTCAGTCAGTCTTCTCTTTTCCAGTCTCAGTAAGCCCAGTTCCCTCAGCCTCTTCTCATAAGCCAGGTGCCCCAGCCCATGAACCATTTTCATTGCCCTCCGCTGGACTCTCTCCAGTTTGTCCACATCCTTTCTGCAGTGTGGGCCTCCAACTGGACCCAGGACTCCAGATGTGGCCTCCCCAGTGCAGAATAGAGGGGAAGAATCACTTCCCTTGACCTGCTAGCAATGCTTCTACAAGTGCAGCCCAGGATGCCCTTAGCCTTTTTTGCAACAAGGACACACTGTCAGCTCCTATCCATCTTACTGTCTGCTGTCACCCCCAGTGCAGGATGCTCCCACTGTATGGGCCAAGTGCAAGGTCAAGGAGACCCCAAGTAGGTTTGCACAGCAAGTCCTTCCAAGGTCTTGTTTCATGAGCTCCCATAAAAACCTCTGTGCAGAAGACCAGGCATCATAATATCAGACCTGCTAGTCCCATCCCGCTGGAATCAGTCAGTGGAACCAGAGAGCTAAACTGGTATAAGCCCCGAACATATGTGCATATACATAATATCTTCTGCAAACAAGGGGGGAGAGAGATCTGTGGGATTTCAGTGCACCGTTCACTTGGGGCCGACTCCAGTTTGCAGGGGAGTTGATCCGGTGATCATATAGGATTCCCCTGCCGATGTGCTGTTTCCTAGCACGGAAATGGAGCTATTGTGAGTCTTCCTGGTTCACGGCAGCGAGCGCACACTAGATGCAGCGGGCTCTGCAGCTGGCAAGTGATTCGAACTGGAAACACAGAAATTCCCAATGGAAAGTCCCGGGATGTTGGCGGAAGTTACCCATTCAAGAGCTAAGCTTGGGGGCACGCTTCGTGGTAAGAAAGGGAGTGGATGGGGGTGGAGAGCTTTCCTTGGGTAGACACGGAGTTGCAGAAGAGAAATACCGCAAAGGATTCGGCCTCAACCTTCTTCCCTGTCCAGCTTCACACCTAGGTTTTCTCACGACCATGCCCCATCCCACCTGCTCGCAGTCCTGTTCCCATATTTCTCCTGTGGCCACTACAAAGCTTAGTTTAGTTGAATTATTCGTAGCGTGTAGACACCAGGGCTTCATTGTGTGAGACAGCCCTTGCCCTGAAGAGAATATAGTCTGGATTACACCGGGACTTTCAAGGAGCATAGGGGACATAGGAGTTGCCTTTGTGGGTCCAAGCCCTGACCCATCCCTGCCATCCAGTCTCCTCCAGGAGGAAGTTTCAAGGTTTCTCAGACACTTGGCCATGACGTGCGCAGAACCTGTGCAGCTATACCTTTAGACATAGCTGTCCACACGCTGTCTCCTTCCTGTCGTGACCTGGCCGGGAGAATAATGTGCATGTCCCAAGGGGTCACATTAGCCACGCTTTGTTTTCCAACTACCCCCGAATCTCAGCCCAAATCCAGTTGGCCATATTTTTTATGATGGGCTGGTGATACCGATAAGACATCAATTCGGCAGAGCACGCAGTGATGCTAGTTGTCCAATTTCCCATCCACGAAAGACATGAGGTCACGCCGCGGCATTAGAAAGAGCAGGAACTTCAGAAGCGTCTCCGGCCTAAAAGTGCAGAACAGCGTCGCACTGTTGTGATATGAAGCAGATGCATGAGCAAGAGCAAGTGTGGTTACACAACTCCATCTGTGCTACGATTAGCGCTGCTGAACAGTTTGTCACACTGCCTCTCCTGCTATGTTCAGCAGAAATTATATTGAGCTTTTCTGCTCCTGCCTCAGCTGTCCCGAAAAGGGAGGGCAGTTCTTTTTTGAGTTGGAAATTTCTGGTTTCAAGCTTTGAAATGCAGCTGAGGCCAGGTCTGCCGGGCAGGCTCCCCACCCCCCGTGGCAGCACCCTCGAGCATATTGCAACAGGTACACATGTCTAGTGTCTCGCTAGCTATGTGTGTGTGTAACTGGATATGTGGATGCAGTATCCGTGTGCACAAGTTAGGCTCGCAGGGGTGGATACAAAGGGGCCCTTTAAATATGTTATGACCTTAGGCCGTACCCCGAGCCCCTCTGATCTCACAGGACAAAGTTTTACTATCCCTGTAGTGAAAGCATGCATAGAAACAAGCCTGATTTCATTTG